GGTGACATCAACGTCTATTTTTGGCCACCATGCATAGGCTCGTAGTAAGCGTTTCATATTATCTCTTCCTGGGTGTCCTTCATGACTTAGTGGCAATACTTTGCTACGTAAGGCCGTTGGCATTACAATTTTGGTGCCCCGTAGAAGTATATTTTCATGAAAACAATATTCTGTTTTGAACGGTTTGTAAGCTTGTATTACTTTTTCAGATTTCCACAACTTGTCATCGTCTAGGCATTTCTTGATCATTTGAATTTCTGCATCGGTTTTTGACTGATCGTTTACTTCGTTTATGGTTACAGCAGGAATAGTACTTGTGTTGGTGGTGGCAGATATCTGGTTAACTAGATGTTCGATGCCGTCTTCAAACAGGCCCGATGGATTTTTTTCATTTATAGGTAGACGCGATAGAGGATCGGCGATGTCCATCTTTCCTGGTTTATAAACTATGTTGAAATCATAGGCTTGTATGCGTAAAATCCAGCGTTCGACTCTTGCACAGAGGGTGTTTCTAGGAGAAAACATAAATTCTAAAGGCTTGTGATCAGTTATCAGATCGAATGTTTTCCCAAATAAATATTTATGGAAGTGCTCCACTGTCCATACTAGTGCCATAGCCTCTTTTTCGGTTATATGGTATTTTTGTTCTCTTTCCGAGAGGCTACGGTGTCCATACGCAATGATTCTGGGGCCATCTGCAGACTGTTGGCGCAATACGGCTCCAAGACCAACTGAACTTGCATCGGCAATGACGAATGTTGGATCATTCAGAATAAAATCCGAGAACTGACTCGCGTTTGTTAGGATTTCTTTTAAGTTCCTGAAGGCAGATTCTTGAGGTGATTCCCAGCTAAATTTGTTATTCTTGATGATTTGTCTGAGTGGATGTGTTTTAGTCGCTACGTCAGGAATGAATCTTGAAACGTAATTTATAAGGCCTAAGAAGCTGCGGACTTCTTCCACGAATGTTGGGTTTCTGAACCGTTGTACCGCATCTATTTTTGCCAAGGTTGGTTTGACTCCACTTCTGGATATCCTGTGGCCTAAAAATTCTATTTCAGGCATTCTTATTTTGCATTTATTTTCATTTAAAACGACGTTGTATTCTGATAACTTGTTTCTGATGGATTTTAACCTTTCATCGTGCTGTTCTTCGTTTTCTGCATAAAATTAAGATGTCGTCGATGTACACAAAGAATCCATCACAATCCTTAAGTATTTGTTCTATTGTCTTTTGGAAAATCTCAGGAGCACAGGAAATACCAAACATAAGACCTTTGTATCTGTATAGTCCTCTGCTTGTGATAAAGGTTGTTATGTGTCGAGATTCTGGTATAATCATTATTTGGTGGAATGCTTGTTTAATGTCCAAACTAGAGAAAATCGTACAGTTCTTGAGTTTGGATAGTAGGTCTTCAATTGTGGGCATTGGGTATTTTTCTCTAAGCACTGCTTTATTGGCTCGTCGCATGTCGATGCATATTCGTATATCTTTGTTCGGTTAACAGATGATGACCATGGGGGATACCCAGCCCGTGTGATTTTTGACAGGTTCAATTACATCACTTTCCAATAGTGCGTCTAGCTTTTTATCCACTGCTTCTTCGAGGGGGATTGGTGTGCGTCTGAGTGGTTGACTTACTGGCTGGATTTTTTTGTCTATTGGTATATCGACTTCTATACCCTTTATTGCTGCTAATTTTGTTAGTTTGCCATCATTGGTTATGCTGTTAATAGCTAAATTAAGTTTCAAAAGACCTAATTTTATTACAGTTTCCTTCCCGATGAGTGATATTTTACCCCCTTTTATTATATAAAATTTTTCATGAGAGCTAACCTTACAGATGTTAAGGGTCGCTGAGAAATACCCCATTGCTTGTAGAGGTGCATTTGATCCATAGGCTTTGAAGATGATGTCAGAATTTGGTTCGAAGTTAGAGATTTCTGCATTCATTTTATTTAAAAATTGCCATGTTGTATCTCCAATAATGTTTTTGTTAGAGCCGGTGTCTATGCACATCTGGATGACAATACCTCCAACTTCGCAAGGAATGGTGTCATTTCGTAGTCATAAATTGTTGTCTTCTTCATCGATGGCTCGGATGGTCTCCTGTCTTTGATTGTTAAATCTCTGCTTCTTGCTGCCTGAGTATTCCCATGATGGACCACTGTGTTGGCGTTTTGGGTTTCTGGTACGACACTGGTTGGCATAATGACCCAGTAAGTTACATTTGTTACACTTTTGTTTCCGCGCTGGGCAAATTAAGTCCGTTCCTTGGTGCGAATTTTTT